TTTTTGAGGGAAATTCATTTCAGTTGAGTTCACTGCTGAATCATTCATTCAGCAGTAATCCATATATCCTCTGAGTTCGTTTTATTGGCCCAAAAATAGTTGTCGTGAATCGTATCCTTGCGCCAAATCCAATTATTTCAACCATTTCACTTCAACTCCCACACCAGTGATTCGAGAAGAGTTAATAGGCAGTGGTGCTATGCGGGCCAAACTGGAAATGAGCCTTCCTATTTAAATGGCAGCCAACAGCTTTGCTAATCCCATTCCTCTGACATTGTCTTGTCCAACGGTTTTCAGCTCAGCTTTTCCCGCCCCTTAGCTGCAGTCCTGGCTGATTCCCTTTCCTCGAAAGGGGAAACCCCACTGAAACCCACCTTTTTCATCCCCTGTCGACATAATGGCTCTGTCTTCTGAAAGAAGGCCTCTATTTTTAGCTTGCTAGAGTGTCCAACTAACGTTTCGTGCAAATCGAAGTTTTCTGAAGAAATGCCGATCTTTTTTTCACAAATCAGTATTCAACAGAATCCATTCAGGTCCTCCACGTGGAAGATGCACGTCATACTCAGACTGCTTTTGGCCATGGTAGCCGCAGCAGCAGCATTCACGAACGGTTCGTTCTCACATAAGAGTAGCCAACCGATTAGGATGAAGGTTGAAATTCTTCCGAACGGTTCGTTCTCACGTAAGACTACCGAAACGACTAGGGTTAAGGTTGAATTTCACCTAAACTCATGCAGCTTCCCAGGTGACTGTTCAGATGTAACTTCGCTCTCGATGGGGATACCATTTTACTTCACCTTGCCATTAGTTTATTGAAAATGAAACCTTTCTAGGCCAATACGTTCGTATACTAAAAGTTTACTTCAAGGGTGGGTAGGACATTCACCAGAATGAGAAGCCTCTCATATCAAATGATCCGTGCTTAACATCCCTCTTTATTAGACTACTCCAATATTTGGCTTCTATCCACTTTTCTTTCCCATAACTGGGTGATTAGTTACATTCCTGGCCATTTCAGACATTCTCGGCAGTCTCCCTATAGTTATGGTGTCCTCCCCTATTAAGTCATTCGAGAACGTAGGAACTTGCTTCATTGCAGTATTCGAAGCCCAATACGTATCTAAGCCCCTATCTCTACGTTCAGGCGACTTTTTTGTGCGATCAGCAAAATGGATTCCGTCCGGCGGTGCCGGCCTAGTGTCCGGAAGAGGTAACTTCAGACCTGGTTTCACTGGACGCGACTGGAGAAGTGCCATAGCTGAACCCAACTTCAGAAAGGTTTGTCGGCATTCGTACTGATGTTGCCTATCGTGCTTCACAAATAATTGGGTGACCAGCTGCTGTGACGAGTTAGGCAGTCGTCATTTGAACGAGTTCACTTTCAAATCGCTGCAATTCCGTTTCGTAAAGGGGGTTTCAAAAAGGGGAAATTACTCGTACATTCTTGACAGAACTTCCTTTTCTTCAGAGATCAGTGGAGTCCTGGTACAGCGACGAGTACTAAAAGGTCGTGGGCAATGCAATCGAGGAGGGAGGAGACATCATAGCGCTTCAACAACAACATCAATAACAACAACAGCACCAACTTCGTCCCATATTTTAGCTCATTATTGATTAAATTAATAAAAAACTCTCTGCTTTTCAAGGGACAGACGTTTGAACAAAAAACGAAAGGGGAAAGGCTCTGTACCAATCATTCCTTTTGTAATGAATTTCAGACTCTTCTCTCACTCAGACAACTATACCTACACAGATGGTATTTGGTCGTGGGGCGAGAGAGGTGGTCGAAGAGTCTCCCATTCAGACATGTCGGGTTGAATGTCACGACGAAGTGGGAAGTGCAGGTAATGGACTGAGGTGGGATCCGATCCACAAGTTGTCTGAATAACTGGATCCCTTGCTCCGCTACACTTTTCAAAACCTTCCTCATTTTCACAGCTTCAGTAATTGCCCTCAAGATTCTAAATATTCACAAATTTGGGGCAACAACAACTGTGGGCCCTATTCTCCACAGGATAAGGACCAGCAGCCAAAACAGGTCCCGTGCAAGGGACTGCCAGTAATGTGATCTGCTTAGAGGTGATGTTCCTTCGGTTCTTCCCAAACCCGAAAATCGAGAAAAGGTGGTCGCAAACTCGTTACCACATTGAATACAACAAACTCCAAAATCTATTTTCGTTCCGGCCGATCAGAAATATACGACGTCAGGGCTTTCGTAATGGTTACATCCCGCAGGTTTCAATTAGAAGGGGGCGATAGATTGATGAGTTTGATTGAAATGAAAAACACAACAACCAGACATGCTCTAATACGTCATTAGTCGGTATGAGGCACATCGGGAATACCCATGCTTTTTACTGAAAGGATCGGTTCTATATGGGATATGATAATGGGACATTTTTGAGAGGCCATTAATTCTATGGAAGGCCGCTCCAAGCTGATCATATCCACATCCCATCATGTTCCCATTTCAGAAAGGCTTTGATTTTAACGTTGTTACGACAGCATCGAGGTCGCGGCAGGACAATCTTGCTACCAAAAAGTGCGACACGGGATAAGCCGTGTGCCAGACTTTGCTAATACGATTGTACCCTACATCTTCTCATCCTTCTATCCTCCAAAACTTACTTGCTTTACGAATTCTGAAGGGAGAAAAGCTGATTCTGACATTTACCTCAACGGTGACTTTCAAGGCATGTGTTCTACATAGAAGTGTGTGAGCATGAATATGTATACCTTCAGAGGTACAAAGATTCTTGATGTGATTCGGCGATCCACTCGTAAGGGCATTCAGTTTCGTCTCAAGTGCTATCAAACGAAAATGCTCGAGCGTATTGCTCAGCTTCTATCAACGTTAAAGACATCAGCAATCTATACCAACTAGTTCACTTTACTGAGCAATAAGATGGAAATGATCTTGAGACTTTCTTTCGCTCTGAGTGGGTGCCGAACAGATGCGGCGATGTCGAGCAAGATGTTCTATCACTGCTGGGATCGAGGGATTGGCCCGAAACTGCGACTCAACTGCCGGACCTATTAAGAAACTGACGTATTTCTCAGCCTTGACATCCAAGTGATTTGGTACCGTGAACTACTTCAACTTTCCGAAGACGATTCGAGATTCCGAAGACGGCAAAACTAATAGTAGCATCGATTTTGGAAGGCTTACTTACTAAATACCTACAACACAAGTAATGCGTCATGATTGCGGGAAACTTGATCATTTCGAAGT